GTTTATAAGTAAAATGACTAAACAGTAAACAGAAGTCCATGAGCACCAACCAGGGTGCAGGATGACCCATCAGAAGGGGACGTATTTGGTTGTTAGGAAATGGGGTCGTATTCGGATTCGAGAGAAATTTGTCCAGTTGCTGATTCTTCTTGGTTTCTGTGCGCTTTACCCTTCCCCACCGTTTCCTTGTTGGAGGCACACAAAACTATTACTCCACACAGCGAGGGTGCCCCCACGCTCGATGAGAGCGCACGCAGATTATGGATTTTGTGCATAGGCGCAAACTAATAGAGCTGCTCCAAAAATGGGGCCCTTTTGATACCGTCCTTTAACCATTACGATATTTACCCTGGTGACCATCTGCTGTGAAGCTCTAGTCGCCACAGCATACAGCATTGCTCTTGACTGTTTGCTGTTGAGGCAGGAGCGTCGATTAGGAGATCCGCATTGCGGCGGAAAGTGAAGAACAGTACTTTTAAGTAGCTGACTCCTTTTCAGCACTTCCATGTAAAAAATCACATCCTGGTGCGACTGTTGCGCGTGAGAGACGATTACGGAAGTAGCTTCGCAACGACATGGTTCTCCTAACTGGCACTGCATCTCTAGCAGCGAGGAGGCCAGAGTTTGGATGGATCATGAACCAAAGAAAGAGATGCAGCCTTGTTCTCAGCGGAGCTGGGGCGGGTAGGTTTAGCGCAGCGCCAGCCCGTTCATACCGATTGTTATCACTTGCCCTTCTCAACAATCGATGGGAAATGGGCTGGCGCCGCGTCTCCAGTCCCATGACATGCCTCAGCATACACAGCGAACAAGACTAGCATCCTTATAAAAGAAGGAAAAACGTAAAAAATAAATCCGGGACTAAAATAAAAAATGTAACGGAAGTGAGGCATTATTGGGCGATAAACCGCTGGGTATAAGCAAGAGCTACCCACTGAGAACTTGCAAAAGCCCACCAAAAACGTTGGAACACAAGTACAACCTTCTCACCTTATCACGGATCTGCCCAGCCTTCCAGCCCGGTTCGGCGGCATGCGATTCGAACACCAAGATGACGTCACCTGGCTGGAAACTCAACTCGTCCTCACTCCTGGCGTTGAATTCAAACAGTGCACGGTACTTTGTCGTGCCTTCAGCGCTGGCTAGTGGCAATGCATTGCCAGACACGCTATCTGAAAAAAGCGGCGCTGACAATTGGAATAGCATAAATCGCATATTCAAAAGTCCAAAATAGTCCTACAAGTGCCTACCTTGTTTCACAGGTGCTTCAGCTCTGTTATTACTTGATTCATTAGTCGTTGCATTAGCAGTAGGAGCCGGGAACACTTCACCGAATGCCTGCGCTTGAACAGCACTAGCTGCTTCCTCGGCTGCACGACGTCTACATTCAAGCTCCCGTTCAGCTTCTTCTTTGGCCTTAGCTTCCGCTGCGAGCCTTGCGTTCTCCGCATCTCGTTCCGATAATTTTGTGCGAGCCTTAACAATGAACTGTGCGAGCCTTAAAAAAGCACTGATTCTGAAATATTGTCGTAGGAAGCAGTATTGTAAGTAACATTTGGACCTCGAACCCCGCTAAGTGTAACGTTCCGACGGTTTTTCATTACCTGCGTCTGTAAATCGGCAAGTGTATGCAGCACTCTTCGATAATCATCGCGTGCCTTTACCAGCTCTGCTCGTGCCGTCTCGTACTCCTCGGTTTTCTGAATAACTGAACATATGCAACTGGAAGCATTGAG